GTACATTCGCAATGTATGGTTCAGGACTTTCAAAACTACTATAGTACCTGTAGATATGGACACTTTATTTAAAAAACTTGTTGACGGAGCAAAAGAAAAGATTCAGATATCTCATCGGTTCTACATTTGTAGAAAAAGATTATTTGAATTCTCAAAGACATCTCGCACTCTAAAACAAGAACAGGTTATCACAACAAATACACTGAGAGATGTTGCCTCGCATTAAAAAAAAAAACTACAGGATGTATCTACGACTATACACTTTGCAGTACTTTGAAGAACGCCTTCCACGTTCACATAGATAGGAAAAAAGATGCTCTTAGTAGAAAAAAATGAATAGGATTGAATTCAAATCACTTCATTATGACGAGATCTATAGAAACACAAGAAATCAATTCATAAAAAGAATATCAAGATTCACTAGAGCAAAAAAAAAACAACAAATTCGTAAAAAAATGACTCTTTCATTAAATAGTTGATAGATCATCAATGGTGCGTCCATATTTTTTGTTTGGCACAAATGGTTCCCATCGTGAAGCAGGATAAATGTGTTTATTCTTCTCGTACCATCCTCGAAGGACTACCTAAACACCCGTCTAAGTAGCAGAAAAAATTGCCTACTGCTAGTTTCAGTTGATTAATCTAAACAGTTCTTGGATTTCTACGATTGGTTATCATGATAAAGCCAGTAAAGATATACCTTTGCAGGATGAGCTTCTCCACAATCTAAAGCTGCATCTTGTCGTATTCGCACATCGCCAGCTGCATCAAACTCGTACAAAGGTCCCGTTTTACCCATTGCTTTAGTTACAATAAAATCTTGGAACCTAAACTACGCTTTCGACAGGGTTCACGACTAAATCTTTCATTCCTTATAGCAGAAAATGAACATATCCGTATAAGACTGTTAACGCTTTGTTTTACACTGAAGCCCTAGCAAAAACAATAATAAGTGAGAGATTTTACACCTATTGCAGCTAGAGTGTGAACTCCTACGAATGTTATAATTACTCACGTGTAGAAATGAGGAATTATAAGGTCTTCCTTGACAAACATTAGATTTTCAGGTACGCTTGTCTTTAGTTCCGTAAACTCTTTTTTCAAAACCTAAAATAACAGTTATAGCCAAACACTATCGGCTACGATAACTTACCTCTATAGCCCAGCCCAAAAACTGCGATATTGTATTTCCCTTCTTGACCTTCAAATTTTTCCTATGACTAGATCCATCCCAATAAGCAAAAGCCACTGTTATTTCTTCATTTTTCTCCCTTTCTTGTTGTGCCCTCCACTCGGCAGCTAACTCTTCCTTTCTCCTAAAGTTCAAATAAGTGAAATTTCATTCAGCATTAAATAATTACAGAAGGAATGAAGTTTACCTAGCAATCTCAGCTTCACGTTCCTTATCCGGAAGAAAACTTGTGTCAATTGTTGGGTCCATTCCAACTCTCTAAATGAAGATAACCATAAAATAGACATGAAAGTTTAAAATAACGCATATTCAACTAAGTAACAAAGGAGAAGTAGAACCACTAAAATAACTCACTTTCTTGACAATGACTGGTTCCTCCTCTTCCTCCTCATCATCTTCAAATGCAAAAGAAAGTACCCGCTTCTACAATGAAAAGATTACTAAATGTTTACACTTTTCTTCAAGGAGTTTTGCAATGTCAAGACTAAAATGAGAAGACTTTCGAATACAAATAGAAAGGTTATAAGGAAGAGATGCAGAAAGAAGTAGAAAACAAAGGGGGGGGAGGGAGGATTTCATCATGCAAATTGGGAAAATTGCTACAATTGCAGCCATTTTATAAGTAAATGCGAGAAGGAACGATTGGTGAAATGAATAACAAAAAGTTCCAAAGGGAACATAGCAATTATACCAAAAAACTAAGATAGCGTTCATTTATAATACGGTCTGTCCTGATCCACCTGTACAACTAACTGTGCATTTCTCATCATTGACATGTAGAATGTAGATAGACACACACAAACACTCATTAACGAACCCTTTTTTTACAAAACAAACCTTTCTTAACTTATTAACGATTTTTTTGAGAATAATATTAGCAAAGTAGACTCTAGTTTCATAGAAAGGAGATGTGACTATCTTAGTGTCCCATCATCTCCACAATCGGAACATTACACGAATCTCCTCGTTGTTAGAGCTTGGCTCAAGGAAAGAAATGGAATAGTATCTTAATAAAATGAAAATAACTTCCAACTTAATAAGTATCTCCACCTCTTGAATTTACCCTACAAAAAATGACGTGAATTTCTCTGAGCTGAATTTGGATGCTACGAATTACGTTCATCAACAAGTAAAAAATTGAAGGAATGTATTAAAGGCGATGGCTCTCTCTAAT